CAGTCAGTTAATTTAGTGAAGTAAATGTTTAAGTTACCTAACAAAACATTTAACTATGGTATTGTGCCTTTAAAATAAAAGAAAAGTTATTCTATATACAAGTATTGGTCTACATTTGCCTCTATATAGCTACTTAAACATTACTTATGAGTCATTGTTCAAGCCTAATTTACATAAAATAAGACTTGAGGAACAAAGGGAACAGTTTCACAAAAGGAAAATGTTGCTATCTTTACAACAAGCCAACAGTGGGAAATGTAATTCATGCAAATGAGGGACACAGATAAAGCCTTCTTTTGTCTAACAACATCAATCTAATGGCTAAATTTATCCACACAGTTAATACCAGGTTTTGAGACAATAGTTCTTGGAGTATTTTTTTTTTCAGCAAATGTTGTTAGGGAGCACAGGCCTGCTGCTAGTAAAACAGGTGGATTAGTGAAGATGCAGGGATGTTCATGATATGATTTAGATTGGGTCTCATTAACTGTAGCAGTGTACATACACATATTTGTGCATAAAACCTGCGTGCAAATATTTCCACACAGAAATTGATTTATCAATAAGTTTGCAAATTGTAAAATTAGGCTAAGAACAGAACTAACCAACAAACACAAATGCAAAAATCACGTGTAGTTTAATTAGAAAAATGGGATGTGTTAAGAAAATATGTATATGTATAAATAACGGAATAACTAATTGACCCCAAAATAAATCTTGTTTCAGAATGACAAAACAGATCATAGCTGTGACAGGTGCCGCATAAAAATATAGCTGATCACATCAAGTCTGGGCCTCTATAAAAGTTGCTTATTGTGTTTCAGCTGGTTTTGAGATTAGCAGTCTTGGCTTTACTCAAAGATCTTGCTATGCATGCTCTTAGGGCAAAAGCATATCTTTAGAGAGCAATCCGCTTACAGAGAGTGATGAATGGCTGTAGTCATCACTGTGGGCATGAGCTCCTTACTTTAAATGAATCTAGATTCATCTACATTCACAAGGTTATGGACAAATTTATGCATGTAATCACCTATTGTGAATCTGGCAAAAAGGAAAAAAAGTTTGAACTTTCTATGTGCACAACTTGCATGGAATCATTAGAAAATGAATCCAAATGTCTAGTACATGCATTCTTAGTAAGTAGGAGTTTAACCTATATCTGTGGACATTACCCTATTAGGGCCATGTGGGAAATCATAATCTTTCTATATTAAAGTCTCTTTTGAAATACAAAAATGGACATCTGAGCAAGGCTAAAGAGTCCCGGCAGTAAATTGCAAAACTATATAAATTTTCATAGAGATAATTCACCCACAGAACACATTTTTATACACTAATATTTAGAACTCCCATCATAGATTTAATTGGTTTGAAACATCAAAGAGTATTTTAATAAGAGTTCATTAATTAGATAGTGATGGTCTTGTTACATGATGTGCCCTTGTCTCCCAGTTGAGCAGAACATTAGTTAATTTTGGCTGTATAAAGCTAGCGTAAGGCTTTTGAATAATTATTTTGATCAAATCTGTAGAGCAGTACCCCTTTAATTGTCAATCAAACAGTCGGTTTAGACTTTTTTTTTCACCTGACTTGTAAAACATTTGTTTAAAAAAATCCTCATTGACTTTCCATTCTTTGCATTTTCAGCAGGGACTGAGGAGAAAGATTGAAGCGCAGTCTCCTGGATATACATCCAAGCAGAATGGCCTCTCCTGTGGGGCATCAGGGTCCGACTTCAAACGCCTCCGCATGGAACCCAGCTCTTTTCGACCTGGTTCCTGTGCTTTGGCTTCAGGGCAGCCTCAAAGATTGGTAGGGGATGCCACCCAGGGTAACATCCTTCGAAGAAAGGACACCTTCATGATGCCTCACGGAGTCGGCAGTGATTTATTCAACATAACTCTAAGGGATATGAAGAAGGAACCGACTGAAGTTCAGACCTGCGGCCAATCGTCCACAAATCCTTCGATGTTGACTTTTGACTTCAAAGATGAAGTAAGTGGACAGATTGACCCAGATCTCCAGGATTTGTTCGATGAGCTCACCAAGACCGTACCATCACTCAATGATCTAGATCTGGAGAAGATGCTAAAGCAAGATGATGACTTCGGTCTAGATCTGGGTCGACCCAGTTCAGCTGGAGAGGCACCTCCTTGTATTCACCTGGATAAGCCAATCAAGACAGAGTACTCACCAGATTTTAGCCAGGCGGCTGGAAGCTCTCCACAACTAAGATCAGCCTCTGCCAGACCTTCCTTCTCCTTGGCCAACACAACTTTATCCACCTCATCCATCACTTCAGGACACCATGGACAGGTACCTACTGGCGGTCCCTCTCGAGGTCTTCCAGCATGGCCTGAGATGTCACATGCTGAGCAGCTAAAGCAAATGGCTGCTAACCAACAACAGCCCAACTCTATGCTCCACAACCACCAGCAGAGTCAAGCAGGAGGGGTTAGGAACTGGTCTTCTGCCTTGGGTGTCCACCAAACTCCTGGCTCTTTCAATCAGGAGACTCTTCCCAGTAATGCTTCCCTTTCTCAGCAGAGACTCAGCACTCAGAGTGCTGGTCAGGCCAAAGGCATGCCCAACTGCTTTCTCAAGCCCAATGAATTCAACCCATCCCATCACATGGACACAAAGGTTCTCAGCACTAAGCCGATGCCGCATTTCAGCCCTAAAGCACCACCTTCCACCACGGCCCAACAAATGCCCATCATGGCTGCTCCACCAAACAAAACAACCATGCAACAGCAGCCGTCTACAGCAGGCCAGGGCATGCACATTCAGAACTGTCAGATGCCCATACAGCCATCTGCCTGCCTACAAACTAAGCCTCTAAGTCAAAGGCCTCCACTCAGTCAACATGGTGCTGGAATCCGTTTCAAAATGGCACAGCAGCGACAGGTAAGACACTGTTTATGGTACTTTTAACAGCTGCTACTTGTCGAACTGTACGATATGTTCCCAGTGACATCTTGGGTAATAGCCATGACACACTGGGACTCATAAGGGTGTCAGGATTCACTTGTTTTCTCAATGCCTTGATTACAGATCTTGCCGATGCATATGCATTGATCTTAAAGCATGAAATTTGAATCATGAATCCATTTTGTTTTGGCCGAGAATCTACAGTATTTAAAATGTTAGAAATTGAATGAGCCACATTTCAGTGAAGTATTATTTAATATATTAAAATATATAAACAACGGTCACTGACTATCACATGAGCATATGACAGCTCTTTCACAATAGCTTTAGAGTCTTGAATCAAATGCGAACAAACCATTGATAAAGCTGCTAACTCAGTGCATGGCCACTACTATTGAAATAAAATGCTTTCATTGTGCCTCACAGTTAACAGTGTGTAAACAGTTTTAAGTAGTTTGTCTTTTTGTTGTTCTTTTTCTAAGACACATCAGGAGAAGCATTTATATAATTCTACAAAATGCACTTAAAAAATGCAGAATTAAATAATTATTTGAATCAAATCTCTTTGTGAATCGGATCGAATCGTTCTAAATTTACAAAAATCATTCCTGAGTCAAATCGAAAACCTGTGAACCGTGCATCGAATCGATTCATCTACCTAAAGATTCACACCCCTACTAACTGTGCATACACAAATTTTTGCGTAAAATCTGTGTATGAACGTTTTCATGTTTTCTTGATTCACCAATAAATCTGCATTAAATTTCATTCTGAATTTGATAATCCAACTAAAACCATAAATCAAAAAATCAAGTGGCCTAAAAAATATATTTGTAACCCTGGACCACAAAACCAGTCTTAAGTGTCAATTTTCAAAATTGAGATTTGTACATCATCTGAAAGCTGAATAAATGAGCTTTCCATTGATGTATGGTTTGTTAGGATAGGACAATATTTGGTCGAGATACAAAATTTTAATATCTGGAATCTGAGGGTGCAAAAACATCAAAATATTGAGAAAATAGACTTTAAAGTTATCCAAATTAAGTTCTTAGCAATGCATATTACTCATCAAAAATTAAGTTTTGATATATTTACGGTAGGAAATTTACAAAATATCTTCATGGAACATGATCTTTACTTAATATCCTAATGATTTTTGGCATAAAAGAAAAATCTATAATTTTGACCCATATAATGTATTTTTTGCTATTGCTACAAATATCCCCCAGCGACTTAAGACTGCTTTTGTGGTCCAGGGTCACATATAAGGATGCCGTTGCTCAATGATCTTGCTGCGCATACTCTCAGGCCAAAGCTCATCTTTAGGAATCGTCATACTCTATGTTAGCTAAGAGTGACGATTGGTTGTACAAAACAGATTGTGAGAAGTATGTCACAATTGTTAGTGAAAGAGACTATGATATGTCAATTCTTCAGTCAAATAATTAGCTTTGCTTCATTTTCCATTTAACACTCTATCACATTTTCGCAGGTTGTTCTTGACACAATGGAGTCGTAGTGTCAAAACCACACACCCTGCTTTCGTTCCATCTGTCAGCCTGTTGTGTTAGCCGTTAGCAGTCTGCCAAATGCTTTAAACTCAACGGCGCTGCACTTTGCTGTAGGCCTGTTTTTCCTTTTTGTTTTTCACGATTGTTGTTTGTGTCTAGGCGGGTGTGGGGTGCCTTGAATTTGTATATCCCCTCAAAGCAGTTCGACGGTAGCCCCGACTTTTTGGAGCACGGTGGATTAACATGCGAAATTTCTCATTTCTCTGCCTGTCACAGTCACTTGCCGTCAGGGCATAGATGCGCACAGTGGGATTTGCTAATTGGAGGTTGTTAGCTGCAAGGGACAAGTTGTGGAAAATGACAGTAATCTGCGTAGCCCAGTGCCGGAGGTTGAACCACTGATTTGTTATGATTTGGGAGCTTTAGAACATCCCCCTTTTCAGTTTCATACAAACAGTATCTCTCGACTCTCTATGTGGGAAACGATAACGAGAACCACACAAGAGGAGTCGTCTTTAGCCTCTCCAGAAGAGGGGGAGAGCGTGGAAAGACATGCTTGATTTTGACATAAAGATGTTCTTCAATCACATGAACATACAGCTCTTTTTGCAGCCATTGATGGGAGAGTTGTTAAGGTTCTTTAAGGTCTTTTTTCCCCCAGTGGACCTACAGGATAGGCTACCACTGTTTGAAGGTTTTTTTTTTTTTACAATTAGTTCAATATTCTGCTATCTCATCTAGTTGTTGCATATCAGAACAATGACTCCAGTCACTTTCGCATTGTTGGGGAAGATATTCAAAAAGTGTAGCTAACTAAGCTAACAACTAGTCTTCAGATTAGCTAAACTGACAGCTACTGTGTCATTAAGAGTAATAATCCCCTTGTTAAAAAGAAGTGCACTTAATTGTGTTTAGTGTCCACTTGTGTACTTCAAATCTTAAAAGTATTTTTTGTGCTCGCAGGTGATGTAATATTAATGAAATAAAAAGCCACTGAAGTGTAAAGTGTAAAATTTTAAGTACAATTTTAAAACATACACCGTGATAATGTCGAATTAAACGCTTTAATCATTATATTTAAATTATACTTATTTTTGTGCTGACTAACATACTGAAGCACATGCAGAGTATTTGATTATAATTTTAACTATAATGTGTTCTTTGATATTGCATTTAAAGTTAATACAATTAAAGTTAATACAATAGTAATACAAATACTAGCAATGAAGTAATTGTAACTTCCTCATTAAAAATATGTAGTTACGAATATGTTTAAATACATGATATACAGGTTTCAATAGAAATGGGTATATTTTAATTTACCATAAATGCTTATTATTACATTCTGCATTTTAATTACTCTGTAACAAGTACTCCTTTTAATAGTATGCTAAAGTGTACTCCTTTTTTTCTAATTACACTACAAGCTACAGGGCAAAATTAGTGAGCTACATGTAAGGTACTTCATATTTTATTATAAATGAGCAAAAATCTAACATTTACTTACAATAAGTGTTTGTGTCTTATTCACATGACTACACTATACAGGTGTTGTGGTACAAAAAAAGTAAATAAATAAGTAAAAACTTCATTTATGTATATATATATATATATATATATATACACACTGTAAAAAAATCAGTAAAATTTACGGTACAAAACAGGCAGCTGTGGTTTCCGGAATTTTACCGTAAAAATTACAGTAGCAACATTTCAGGTTTTACGGTTTTAACTTAAATTTACTGTTAAATACCGTAATTGCATTAACTGAAATAATGTTAATATACCAACCTATAGGTTGTTTGCAATCACGTGATTCTGATGATGCGTGAAATGCAGCTGGAGGGCAGGAAGTGATTTTTCTCTCCATAGGAATCACTAGCAGAAACTCCAAATACCAGTGTTTTGCATTGTTTATGGATGCTTAAATTGGACAAACCGAGAAACCACAAGGAGCAAATATTAATAAAAAAATATATAAATAGATACAGGGTGACACTGTCAGAATTAAATGAATGCTAAACGCCACACATAGACACGATGTAAATAAGATATTGTTTGCAGTTCACGGAATCGTGAGATTGCGATAAATTGAAGTGAGTGAGATTTTTAGTGATTATTTTGCGCTATTTGCTCGCTTTCTAGGCAGGCTATAATCGATTCAGAATTTAAATAAAAGTTGTTTTACGTGCTGCTAACAGGACCAACAGCCACATACCCTGT